GTGTTTTTCTATGAAAGTAAATGTATGCTGTTTAAAAACCTCGCGACTGCTGAACAAGAAAACGACACATTCATACTTTGTTTATCTCAGAGCCGATCGTCCGAGTCGATGTCCAGAGTCCTTCGTCTTTTCGATGTGGTGTTTTCCTTGCCAAATCGAGTCCAATCCTCTTTATAGGAGCACTCGAATGAAGCAGCCTTACCTGACAGCTCTCTTTTATTGAGCAGTGTTGCAGTTGATAATCGTTATCCTTTCATAATAAATAGTTCTTCAACGGATAGTTCATTTCGCAACGGCAGTCGGCATTAGATAAACTTGAACGTAGCGAAGCAATACTACTGTTATACTACTTTCATTTAAGCTTGGAATGAATAATCTCATCGAGCACCATTCCTTCCTTCAAGGCTCTTTGTGAAAAAGTTTGACCATCGGGTCGGTGGTCTTCCTGCAGTACGTTTAACATCCCAGGGAATCCAGCCACTAACGGCTCTTATCCATCGGTTGTCATTCATACGCGTTACCTGTCCAGCTCACCTTATCTTCGAATGTTTGGCGTACAGAACGGCATCATTGATTTTTGATCGTTGAAACAGGTCGGAGCTTCGGGTCCCATCTCTTATTTGTGTGGAACGGGATACTCCTAGCATCGTCCTTTCGACTGCGCGTTCGATAACGCTGACCAATCTTCCATCCTGTCTACGCAGCGACCAGATTTCTGGCGCATACATTAGGGCAGGAAGTACCATTGAGTCGAAAAGGTGGGCAGGGAGTCGGGTGTTCTTTGTTCTCCTCACTACTGCTTCGATGCTCTTGAAAGCCACCCATGCTGCTCGTTTTCTTCTGCTCAGCTCTGGAGCTAGGTCGTTCATCATGTTGATTTCCCGACCTATACAGACATAACTGGAGCATTCAGAGATAATCGTTCCATTTAGCGTGAATGGGGCATACGAAACCAATTCGTTCTTTATGAACACCGTTTTTGTAAGATTTAGGCGAAGACCAATCTTTCCACAGCCTTTACCAAAGTCGTCAAGCATACGCTTTCCTTGGCTAATGTTTGGCCTTATAAGGAAGACGTTACCAGCAAAGCAAAGATGGTGTAACTGCTGAACAACAATGTTCACTCCCATATTATTCCATTCCAATGTTCGTATCACTTTCTGGAGGGTGGCGGTAAATAATTTTGGAGAGATGGTATCGTCTTGCCTAACTCCTCTTAAGACGACAATGTTAATATCGTTGTAGAATGGTGATATTTGGTTGTGAAATTTCTCTACAAGTCACGAAGAATCTTTATGTACTGAATAGAGACTCCTTGACTATCAAGGGCTTTCAAAACTGCTTCTATCTCAACTGAATTAAAGGCCTACTGTAAATCGATGAAAGCGAGACAGAGCGGCCTCTTTTCTCTCGCGATACTTCAATGATCCGTGTTGCCGTGTGGATTTGGTCCATCGTACTGAACCCTCTTCAAAACCCTGCTTGCTCACATGGCTTTCCTTCGTCCAGTGTTCAGCCAATCCTATTTGGGATAACTCCAGCGAAAAGTTTGCAGACGACGGACACTAAGCAGATTGGGCGATAGTTGCCGATATCGTGCAGGTCACCCTTCTTAAACAATAACACGGTTTTGCTGGTCTTCCACTGAGTAGGGACCTTGCATTCAAACAGGTAACGTGTGAATAGCCGAGCTAGTGTGTTTACGAGGACTGGCGGAAGGTTTACCAGGTGTTCTGGTCTTACCCTCTCGGGAACTGGTGCTGTTCGATTTTTCACCGACGAGATGGCATTTCGGATTTCGGAAGGAAGAACGAGTGGTACAACATATTCATGCTCCTTTATTTCATATGACGGAAGGGAGATGTGGCAATTGAAGAGATCTGAGTAGTAGCCGTGAATGATTTTCTCCACTGCCTTTCTGGACGCTGTAACTGTTCCGTCTGGGCGTCAGAGTGCAATCGCCTTGATCCTGTAGTTGGCGAGGGGTCGGTGGGCTTCGCGAATGCTTTTCCCAGTCTCTGCAGCTTCGACCGTTACTGCTACTCTTCTCTCTTTAAGATCTTCGTTTATCGCCTGTCTGCATTGTTTTGCAAGTTTGGACGCTAGTTCGCGGTTGTCGTGCGATTCCATGCTAGCGTATCAGCTCGATTGTTTGTGGAGACAGACGTCTCTTGGTGACTTTCGTACTCTCAGCTTTCATAGCGCTAGCGTGAAGATGTTGAATGAGCCGATCGTACACTTCGTCGATGCTATCGACAACGGCATCTTCCCAACAGCCGACTAATGAGTTTAATAAGTCCCAGTTTACTGTGGTTTTGGAACATCGCTTTTTGAATTTAGAGGCTTTTTCTCCTTTGTGTGAGAAATAGAATCTCGCACTAATGAGGCCGTGGTCTGATGCCGTGTAAAATTTTGGGAAAACAGCATCATCGGTAAGACAAAACCTTCTATTTACTACGTTATGGTTTATTTCGTTATGATACTCTCCATTGGGAGACTCCCACGTCCAGTGATGAGGGTGGGGCTTCTGGAATTGCGAGTTACCATGCATTTTCTTGTTCCTCATGATAAACTCAGATAGTAATCTATGGGTCCCAATGTGACGTTCCTCAGACGTTTCTCTTGGTCCAATCTTGGCGTTGAAATCTCCAATGATGAACTTAAAAAATGTGTGGTCTTCTCTGTAGAACTTCTCCAAGCCCATATAGAACGCTTCGACTTCTTCTTCGTCATAGTTTGATGTCGGCCAAAGCCAGAATTGATCCACGTCTTTTTAATCGTAAATGTAATCGTAATTGCAAAGAACTAGACAAATTATTACCTAAAATGGATAAATAAGCGCGCAAGTAATTAGAATGACTAATACAAATAATGCTAACTATAAATAACTAGCTAAAAAGAAGGACCAAGATTACTCACTTGCTTAGAAACTTGCCGTATTCATTGGTTGCATGGACCCCACAACAATTTCCACTTTTTCGAAGTTATGATGGTTTAGCCATTACGGTTCCCCGAAGTGCCCTCGTCAACAAGACCAAAGTATGCCCCATGTCGTCACGAAGACAAATAATAGACGCCTTTGTGGATCAGAGGGAGATTTTTCACTGTGCACCTAGTTTGATGCCAGTACGTTGCCCTATCTCGTGTTGGTTTACTCTTAGCTAGGCTGCTTGATGAAAAGCCGTACTCCTTAACAGCTAGAGATACCCTGCCTAAAGGATGAATTCCACCTCTTTACATCGCAGCCCGACACTCGGGAACACGTGCAACCCTGACTAGGCGGTAAACTGCTAGTAGGAAGATCAAGATTAAAAAATAAGTGAAATTGATTAATTAATTTCTAAAGTAAAGCTAAGTTAATTAAAAATTTAAATTAAACTGGTCAAAAATCGAAAAAATTGACTACTTCAATGATGCTGAGATATTATCAAAACTACGGACTGCAGTTGTCTGCAGTGGGGAAGGAAGGCGCTATTGTCCTTTCCGGGAAGTTCACGTTCACCACCACACCATGTGGATTATTTCTTTCTTCTGTCTCTCAGCTATTTCTATTGTTCTCTGCCATCAGCAATCATCCCTCAGCGGGATTGTGTGGTGGTGAACGCGTTACCCCGCGGAAAGGACAATAGCGCGTTCGTTCCCCACCGAAGACACCTCCGGTCCGGACTTTTGCAAATATCTCAGCACCATTGAAGTTATATTTCGCAATATACCCTGCCATCAAAAGGAGTGGGTAGTAAATAATAAGTTAAAAGTTGGCTACGTTAAATTTCCATGACCAATCTAGTAATTTTGCAAAAGTCGAGTTTGACAATGGAATCGAACGCCTTAAAGAAATAATTTTTCACTCCAAGGTTTCATTGATTCAGTAGGTCTACCAAGCTGGCAAAGAGGTCAATATTCGTATCTGGAAGCCCAGTTATGGATAAAACAATGCAACAAATTCTTGCTATCGTTGCGAAGTCGCTAACTGACGGAAGTGTAGAAGATTCGAGAAAGCTCTAGAGCGGCTTTCGACAGTCCAAAAATAAAAAATCCCACCAAAGCAAAAAATTATCAGTGACGTGGAAATAGGCCTCTGCCAATCTTAGTGATTTATTGAATCATTTAAGGACTAATGCTGAGAATATATCGAATAGAAGAAAGATCACATAACGTGAAATCTTTCGAATTTAACGCCTTCATGTCTTTGAACCACAACGAACACCATTCAGCCACTGGCTTTTTAAAGCAGATTCCACCATGTCTTTAAAAAACGCATTCACTTTTGTCGTCTCTAATCCGTTAATGATCGAATAAATCGCTGCGTTATCGGAATCTCCATTCGTCGTATCGGCCCACCAGACTTGCCCAGTCCACCCGCTTTCATTCGAGGAATGTTCGAAAACTCACATCACGCACATGTAAATTTATAGCTTTTTACCTCATTCTCAGCGTGGGTAGCCTAACTATACGTGTAAACTTCTCAGTGTAGATAGCAACTCGATATCTAGGAACATCGCTGACCCTGGATCTGGTAAACCACTGAAGGGTAGCAAGTGTTAATGTAAAGTAACCATTTCACAAATAACTTCGGAGAAAACTCTTAGCGACTTGCTATCGTTCTTCGCTTCATCTTCAAAACAAAGCTTTTCCATTAACAGCTCAATGCATTCTGTTGATTTCACTCAGGCAGACGTCTTTGTATTGTTCCGTCACACTAACTTTGTCTAACTAACTTCGTTTAACTAATGTAGACAAATTATTACCAATGCAATGACAAATTTTAGGACAAATAATGGCGATGGTAGTATGTTTCACCAAATAAAATCACAATAGGCAGTAATTTCACGATCGACTAGAGTATATCGACGTGAATCTACGATACTTCACTTACAGAATACGCAATGAATAAAAGTTACTTGAGAAAAAACTTGGTATGACCACATTATAATGTCATCCGTTACTCAATAACGAAAGCAACAAAAATGCCCTTCAGTTCGATGTTTTTCATGAAATGTTTAATGACGAGAGCTGCCGGTGAGTCGTTGAAAGGCATCCAGTAAACCGACCAGAAAACTTGACTCGCGTCCAGGACCGCCCTGGAATTAAATTTTCTAGCCTTCACCATTTCGTAGAAGTTACTTTATTTCATCTAAGAAGTAGTGCTGACCAATCCAGCCCTGGTTCATTAAGCCATCAGTAGTTCCGTAATATCTGAGGTCAGTTACATCGCACTGAATCACTTGCCGCTATGAATATAAGTATCAAAGTTTTCTTGGAAAAATCGCGGTCATAAGACACTACTTTGTTAAATTCACTATGACTAGCGAAATTCTGAGCGAAAGAATTCAAGGCTTAGGTACAGTGACTTCACTTACGTACACAGTGACTTATGGTGGACTTATGACTTATGCCGATTTATGCCCCGGCATGGTTTTCTTTTAGAATTTCGAGAAAAGCGAGAATTAATCGATATGAAATGCTGAGATATTTGCAAAACTCCGGACCACAGGTGTATGCAGTGGGGAACGAACACGCGCTGTTGTCCTTACCGGGGAGCAGCGCACATCCGGGTCCGGATGGTGTAGTGGTAAAGTGCGCTCCTCCCCGGTAAGGACAACAGCGCGTGTTCGTTCCCCACTGCATACACCTGTGGTCCGGAGTTTTGCAAATATCTCAGCATTTCATGCGAGTTATATTTCACAACATACCCTGCCATTAAGAAGAAAAAGGCAGTAAATAAAAGAGTTAAGATTGTAATTAATCGATATTTAAAGAAGAGGGAAAGTGGCAAACCAGGCTGAAGAAGAGCTAACACATAATGCCATTCGCAAGACAATACATCGAACAGAAGTTCTGAACTCATAGGATTCGAAGAAAAGCCATATAACTAGGCAACTTTGCACAGATGTTGGCAACCATACACCTTGCCAGATGTTCAGTAGATTTTTAAGTCTATACCTAATTACATGAACAGTGACTTTTCAATGTTAGTTTCTCTACAAGATTAGCAATATTTGTATCCAAATCTACAGGATAAAGGATAAACCTCTCGGCATTGATCAATCCCTGAGAGATGCGCCATGCTCATTAAGCATCGTTTGGAGGTGATTGAATGCATATCTGGCCTTCACAATGACTCGCGGTGGCCTACCGATGCATCGACCCAGTAATGCTATCCTCCCAGAAGTCTGGTACCAATTCACCGAACCCGGAAAGATGGAAGACTTGATGGGCCATCGGCGCAGGATCGATTCCACGTGTGTGTTGTAGGGCGCTTACGACTACTGCGCCACACGCACCCCTTTGCAATCTATTTGTTCCGAATCAGGACAAATTTACATTTTCATGCAACTCACCACAACTGTTTGATTGCCGACAGTGACGTTTTGTCCAATGTCGATGCCTTTTTCTTTATCGAATTTGAAGGAACCTGAACCGCCATATTGTGATCCGTTTACCAACGCTGCATCCTCTCCTAAAAAGCAGAAAAACGATCTCAAAGTTAACGCTAGGACGATTCAAGGCAAGAAATTCCCCTACATACATACCATTTAATTGATAATTTAGTTCACAACCTTTTCTTCTTTTTTTCCCAGCAGATAAAACCATGTCTGTTACTATAAAGTGTAAAAAGCATTCGGCCTTGATTAACCTTTTGGGGATGGAAGTGCTTTAGATCTTATAGCAATACGGAGGTGTCTCACTGCGTATTTTACGTACACAGTGACTTGAACGTGTCTACCGACGTGTGAAATCAATGTTTGTTCCTATCCTACCAAGAAAGTCCAATGCGAGCTTGGCTAGAGGTTTCCTACAAGACATATGTTGCTATTGGATAAACGCTACACCGGATCAGCCAAGCCTCACATACTTCTGGAGGCAAAAAACTACTATCGGAGTTGTTTGTGAAGAGTTACTTATCATCCTCAAAGGATGAAGAATGCCTGCGGCCAAGATCTGCGAACACTCCCAAGTACTACTGGAACATTCACCCTCGGTCAGTATTAAATGATCTTCATATTTGTCAATAATGAAAAATCCTAAGCAGCAGTGGAACCCATATGCAAATCAGAAGGTCGTCATAGATGGTGGATGCATGGTAATGAGTCCAATGAAAGAAATCGGCATGACTCAACATGTAAAGGCGGTTCATAAAAATTATTTTGGCAAAAAACTAATAATTAAATTGAACGGTTTGCTTCATCACTGTGTTCCATGTGTTTCATAAAGAGGACATATGATGACCTCAATTAGACGGGGTCAGTGCCACTGATGGTTATCGTCGTCTTCGTCTCTTTCATTGGCGTAAATTTGATCAAAAGAAAAACTTTTTTCTAAATCTGTTTTTCTCTCTCTCTCGTTCTCTCCTGCTCTCTCTTACTTTCGATGTGAAATGTGCCGTTTCCTGTTGTCAATTTCACATTTCGTCTGCCACCGTAACCAAAAAGATTGAAGCCCTCATTTGAAGTGATTTCTAACTGAAACGAAATTTATAAGTAAAGCTCATCCAAAGTATAAAGTAGGAAAAAATATAAGTGAAAATGAAGAATTTCCGGAAAATCTTACTGTATTCAAGAAACTATGGAAAAAAACAACTAACATTACCGTCATCTCCTTTTTTCAAGCCAATGTTACCAAACGGGAGCGGAATGTTGAATTGCGCTGAAGGAAGAAAATGTGAGCTATCTATCAAACAGTGAGAGCTATGAAAATGACCAGAAACACTCAGTTGTTTAACTATTAGAAAATGGTGTCCTTGCGCTAGGCGGTTTAGAACGTTTTAAACAAAAGTATAGAACTCATAAAAAAGTTCAGAATGTTAATGCCTATTTTTACTGTTTTTATTTTATTTTATAAGACCCATCTTCACGTCTTGATGATTTTCATTTCACCTTGAATGTCGTAGAATGCTGGTCGAGCAATTCTCTCTGGAGTCCTGGGACAGCCTGGCTGGAGCATTCCCAATTGGACTGCAGAGAGTGATGTCTTTATCAGACAAGTTCGGTACCAATTTTCCGAACCCGGAAGGATGAGAGGCTTGGTTGGCCCTGAGTAGAATCGAACCAGCATCACATTTGTGATGACGGAAGTCACTACCGCTGTGCTATCCGCCCCTGTCAATGCCCATAGGGATTTCAATACAATAAGATCAATACGAATGCTTCTAAAGACTATCGGCTACCTTTAACTGTTCTCATCAGTGAAAGATATTATCAGACTTAGCGTTTCTTCTCTTGGTTTAAGAAAAAAGATGAGATAAATGAGGAAGAAGGGACGTCTCTTTCTGATAATAAAATCGACAGAGAAACAAAAAGGAAAAGCATAAGAGCTTTAGAGATAAAGTATAGGGAAATAATAAAAAGTCATTAAAAAAATTAGTGAGATCAATCAATATCCTACCATTAGCGAAGGTCATTATAATGGCGACGACGCCTAACATGCACTGGCCGCGCATTGTGGAACTGCCCGACCTAAACCTGAGATGAGTCGTCATCATCATTGCAACCCATCTGACCCAGAGACGACAGACAACACCGCCAGAGATATCCTTCCCGCCAAAGTGAAATGTCATATCTGTCCATATCCTGAAAAAGAAACATGACATATTGAAGTCTATAAACAACTTCGAATATAATGGGACAACATAAAATGACCAGATAATTCCCGATATTTCTAAATGACCACATGATCAACAGCTTCTCGAAAAACCCACCGTTCTTCCACTTAGAAAAAACAACAGATCAGAGTCGCATATGGTCGATGAATGCACCAACCCACATCAAAAGTGGATGCGAAGGTACAGGGCGAGATCACGTGTGATCGTTGGCCATTCCTCTTTCCTATTCATTCTAGGGTGCTTGGTATCTATCAAAAAGGATCAAGTAGCTTGTGCGTTGTTGTTAAGCATTCTGTTCGAGGGAAGTGACTTTATATCAAAATCGTCTCCGCTATGTTTTTGTATCCTACGCGTCCTTAGTGTGGTACCTGGTCTTGGTTTGGCTTTTGTTTTTCATCTAGGTGGTCTTTTATGCGAATACGTAAAGGTCTGTCCGTTTTGCCATTATATTCATCTCCTTAAGTACTACAAGAGACCAAGCATATTGTACGTGATCTGAACTCATGCAATCACCGCCCCTTCCATAAGGGCAAATTACGCAACTTTGTGTTTCGCATAGACGGTCATACAAATGTAAATCAGTTGGGGTACGACTAGAGAGCTTGAACTTTTTGCATTCCAGCATTCTGTATATAATGCTGAGATATTTGCAAAACTCCGGACCTCAGGTGTATGCGGTGGGGAGCGAACGCGCGCGTGGCGAAGTGCGCTACTCCCCAGTAAGGACAATAGCGCGCGTTCGTTCCCCACCGCATACACCTGCGGTCCAGAGTTTTGCAAATGTCTCAGCATTATATACGAGTTATATTTCGCAACATACCCTGCCATTAAAAAAAAAGGCAGTAAATAAAAGGGTTAAGATTGTGATTATAACCCAGCATTTTGTCTTAAGTCATATTTTCAAGAGTGCTATGAAGCATTAAAATATCATTCTTTCGTGTTCTAGCAATTCGACTTCTCGTCAACGATGTCGGGCTAGAAAACCTCTGCTCTGGTGATCGACAACGATTCAAGGATGTGTAAGACAGGATTTACTGGCGATGATCCAAGACGGCTGTCTAGCCTTCCATTATCGGTCGTCCGCCACATGAGGAAATGATCACCTGTACGAATCAGATTCGTACGTCGGGCACAGAGACGCTTTCCGGAAGAAGTGAGTTGCGTTGCTTCTCTGACCAATTTGACATTCGGGCCAGTATTCCACTAAAATATTTGCTTTCTAATGAATCCATGTAATATCCTAAGTATAAAAAGAAGTCTATAAAAACAAATGGAAATGGCTGTAACATCGACTATGCGATAAAGCGTTTATGATGGCGAAGAATTTATACCAAAAATACTCTAGTTGGCCCATGTGAACTGAAAGCTGAGTTGAACTAAAAACATAAATCACGTCGAGGGTGTGTATTATCCCTGAACGACTTTCTGTAAAATTTTGGAAAATTCTTAAACGTTCTTTTAGCCTAATGAACTTTAAAATTTATTGATGAGATAAATGGAAAGATGGCTGTCAAGTTCCATCTATTGGTCTGCTAAGAGATTTGAGTCCTAAAATCAATAGTTTTTCTATTATTGCGACATTTGCGACATTATCTGGTTTGATTCGCTCGCGTTTCTCTGGAGCATATTTTTCCTTTGCAGGAGCTCTTAAATTCGGATCCCAATCGAAGGCGGCGTTGAGACGAACTGGGTTGAAATGGAGGTGTGGCAGCACGTGTTCGCGAACGAGTGGCCCATCTTTGCCAGCTAACATCCGGTTGTGCTCACAGGAGCACCACTGAATCTGAACGCGAACAGCGAACGGATGACGGAACTGATGTTTGAGACTTTCCATACACCGGTATTGTCTGCTATGATACCAGCCCTGGTCTCCTTGTTCGCGTCTCGATAGGCTCGAATTCCAGGGTTGAAGTCACCCATATTGTACACATTTACAAGGTTAGAGAAGAGAAAGGTCACTGAGGTTTCAAGGTTGACAAGGATGTGGCTTAAGCATAATAATTAAATTTGCGAGCTCTATATTTCAAATAGCGAAAAATAGATCGGCTAGTCATATAACGAGAAGAACAGGCGGCAGATGGGCGAAAAAAGCCGTCGAGTGGATTCCACGAGAACGCATACGTCTTCTAGGAAGACCACGTACGCTTTGGGTAGACGTATTCGTAACCATGCCAAAGAGCTATACTCGCAGCTGTAGTTGTTTTACAGATCATGGCGCTCGCACCGGCCACCATGCTCGAAGCAAACCACCACCATGGGCGACGACCGCGAGGCAAAGAAGCGATTAGAAAATGTTCTGGGTTTCCCAGAACTCCTGAAAATAGATCTTCCAAGTATCCAAGTAGGTAAGCATATGTTAAATTCAATTACTTGGTGCTGGGTGATGCTCAGACTGATGTTTTTGACGGATGTTACTATTACAACGTACAGTGAGCTTTTAGTAAATTTTAATAAAGAAACTATTTTTCACTGAAAAATTGTGCGTTCTGCTTAAGTTCCCCTTCTTGCTTAATGGCTTAACTCTGCCCTAAAGTTGTTGAAGTTTAAAGAAAATTCAATTTTTTTTGACACAGGCTGTTTTCACCATAACGGTTTCATTGCGCCTCGCTCTTGATTTCACACTCGGCACGTTCGCACTAACGACAGTCATTATGATTGAGTGACTTTGGTTTAGTAAATAGCTCTGAGGGCTGGGTAGCACATTGGCAGTAATGCAAATCTTTACGATCACGGTGCTGGTTCGGCCCCACTTTAAACTCATTAGGCCTCTTATTTCGCAGGGGTTTGGAAACAGTGCGTGTGCCATAGTGGTCAGAGGCGCCCTGCAACACACACATGAAATTGATCCCTGCTGCCACGGCCCACCAAGCTTTCCGTACCTCCGGGGTCGGCAACTCGGTACCAGACTTGTCTGGGAGGATAATAGCACTGGCTTGATACATCGGTAAACCACCGCGTGTCATTGTAAAGACCAGATATTCATTTAATCACCTCCAAACGATGCTTAATGAAGTTGGATGCATGTCGTATCCCTCAGGGAATGATCAACGTTGAGAGCTTTATCCTTTATTCTTTTAAAATTTATACAAAAAGCTTCAAGAGTTTTCCACGTTGATCACATGTGTAACATCGTCACAACGTTTAACTTGACTTTTATCGATTTATGATCAGCAAGCGGCAATAGAAAAAAGTCGCATCGAATTGGTGTTTTTGCTTTTTTCTTCGTTATTTTGTTGATTTTTTCTACCGTTGTCTATTTTCGCTTTTTGAAAGGTTCCTAGTGGCCAATATGTGGCTCTTCTTCGAAAGTTTCAGCAATGTCTTCATGTAAAATGAAAAATCAGAGCTCGTCGAGACATTTCTTTCGTTTTCCTCACCCGATCGATTACTTCGTTTTTCTTTTTAAATTTACTTGTTCTTTAAGATTCCCAATATAAAAAAATTGCTGCAAAGCTTTCTATTGTACTGGCCAGAAAAAATCCTAAGACGTTCCACTCTTTCGAATCCTTCAGTCATTTTTTTCTATTTTCTAGACAACATATTCCACTGCCAGACTTCGGCGAGCATTCAACTGAGGACTTTGAGTTGTAATAACTACGTTTCAATTTGCTTCGTTGGAAACTTGGATGCTGCATACATGGTTCTTGTGAGGTCCAGCGCATTTCGTTGTTTTTTGTTAATTTTATGTCTTTTTTCTTTAGAAAAATAAAATAGCTGCACTATTCCTAACCGATATCGAAGGCATTTGCGATACTTGTCGATCGAAAGCGAGGTAATCTACCTTGAGACTGGGCTTCCCGAAAATTGAAGAGCAGCGTAAATCTTCTCCAGATAATAGTGGCCTTCACAATGCAATAGATATGTTGAACTTCTTCACACATTAAGGGCGTGTGTGGCACAGTGGGTCGGAGGCGTCCTGCAACAGAAACGTGGAGTCGATCCCCGCGCACGTGACCCACCATAGCCTTCCACCCTTCCGGGGTCGGCAAATTACTACCAAGCTTGTCTGGGAGGATAACAGCACTGGCTCGATACATCGGTGGGCCAGCGCGAGTTATTCTATAGGCCAGATACGCATTCATTCGCCTCCAAATGATGCTTAATGGAGTCGAATGCATGATTCATCCCTCAGCGATTGATCAACGCCGAGGGCTTTATCCTTTTTTTATCCTTCACACATTCACTAACCATAGGTGACAAGAAAATTTAGTTGTTAGTCACAATATGTATACACGTTAAATCCACCTAAAAGCATTATATTCATTTATCCCAGAGAAAGTGAATGTATTTCGCACATGCAAACTATTCAGTGATGCAAAATATAACTTCAATGATGCTGAGATATTTGCAAAACTCCCCACCGCAGGTGTCTGCAGTGGGGAACGAACGCGCTATTGTCCTTACCGAGGAGCAATTCATTCACCACCACACCATGCGGGTCGTTTGTTTCGCTTGTCTTTCACCTACTTCTGTCGATCTTTTGCCATCAGCAGTCACCCGTCAGCAGGATTGATCTGGGGAGCCCAAATCGGCAATGAATCCAGTTAAGCTGAGTTTTTAGTTATAATCACAACCCACTGAAACTATATCAACTATAATCACTGAATAGTTTGCTTGTGCGAAATACATTCGTTTTGTCTGGGATAAATGAATATCAAAATCATAATCGTAGACACCTGTGGTCCAGAGTTTTGCAAATATCTCTGCGTTATTGAAGTTATATTTCGCAATATGTCCTGCCATTAAAAAGAGTAGGCAGTAAATGAAACAGTTAAAATTTTGATTGTTCAGTGATGGTTGAACGAGGAGAGGGATTGCTGAAAGCGAAATCTTTTACGTGGTGCCACAGTATCATCAAGTACATGGACAAAAACACGGACAATCTTTGATAGTTGCGGAATAGAACAAAGAATGTAGCGTCTACTCAAATCTAGGACATCTGCGAACTGGTTGATGTCGTTGTCAAAGACGTATTCGAAGAAGTTAGTAGATGTGAACAAGAACGCATATCTACGTAAACTATAGTGGGGTTTCATAAAGCAGGCGTTGAATTCAATTCATCAGACATGATTTCAGTGATCAATCTTTCACTACGCACAGCTCTCCAACAGATCCGAAATAGTAGTCGGAGTCCATGTTGGCTAAAGTAGCCATATTACGTTCATCGTCGAAACATTGAGGTCCACCACAGGTGAGTCCAATTTGTCGTTCACGGAATGATGTTGGCTCCCTGGAATCGAGGATGTTATGATGCTGGAAAATGATCCGGATTATATCAAGTATAGCTAACCAGTACTATATGAGTAAACAGCGGATCACTCCGTTTACATAGTTTTCTTGCTGTCGTTAAGAAAGCAGAAGTAAGATTGTAAGAAAGGAGTGCTTCCAAAGGAACAATGTAATCCGTTTAGAAACTAGACTACGCCCACACATACAGATTGTAAGGTCGCGTGCTGTCGTCAAAATTAAGACGTGTTCTGTAACTATGATCAAAACAATCGCTAGGAATCTTGTTCAACTGTCGTATAATTGCTAAGGTGGTGCAGCTGTCTGCTCTCCTGAATTTAACGACGAAATTCTATGAAAGAGTTATCAGATGAGCTTCTCTTCTTGTTGAAAACAGGGGTCATAAGTTTGGACTACCAGAGGCCCCAATTTCATAATCAAGGGTTTAGCCTATATTTGGATTTGTGATGCTGAAGCCGAAATAGTTGTCCAACCATCTTACCTTGTACCCAATTTATTCATGTACTTTGGCTCTAAGCCCCAACCGCTACACAGTCGATCCATTATCAGATCTCTTGTTTCTGACGAGATCAGATTAAAATCTTTACGTCTCACCAATTCGTTGGCAAACGCGTTGCAGCTGAAAATCAACAGAAAAAATTCAGAGAATGAAGATGCGGTAACAGCGGAGATAAAAACCACGAACGACACCAGGACACCCATCACCTTGCTACTTCGATCAGTAGACAGGGACGGTAAGATGTATTGATTTATTGGCGGACAGATTAGCACAACAATGTTCAAGTCTGTTGTAACTCAATAAATCCAAATAGGACCGACCTTGCCTCAGCTCTTTGAATGCAAATACTGAGCATGTTTCTTAAGCCGAAATTCTCAGCAAAGATGATCTGATCACGGTAAACATCACATGATTCCGGTGGTTCTTGAAGTAAATTCTGAGAAAGAAAACCTTGAACGCCAACAACAACACATCAAGGTTGGTTTAATATCTTACTGTCTACATAACTACATGTAAACTACTCTAAGGAGTAAAACGATAAGGGAGAAAGAACTCAGCGTTGGGCAACCCTTAGGAAAGCACAATTGGTTCAACTACATTCGTGACAACGTAGAGGTGATCCATGCTCGCTAATAAAATGAGTTAAGGTGGGAGTGGGAATCCTACCGATTTACCAAGTCAGTTTTTTCTTCTCTAACACATCTTTGGTATGAATCTGCTAATAGAGCGTAGAAGGAGAGCTTGGTTTTTTGCGCAGTAGGATCGAACCACCGTTCTCGAGTGCATTACACCGTACGTCTAACAACTGCGCCGTACTACTTACCGTCTTAGTACTTGCGTCTTACTACATGTATTTTAAACAGCAACATTTATTTGTGTAAATCTAATCACAAATCAATCACAGCGTTTATCACAAAAGATTCGGTACCTGTTCAAGTTGGTTTTTCACATGATTCCAGCCGTGGTCGTGACAGAAAACAATGGCTGCTCTGAGAAAATGCGTCGGTACTTCTGGTCCAAGAGGATACAGAGAGCACAACAATGTCACTAGCACCTAAGAGAACATTCATGCAGCCCAACGTCTTCGACAACGCGTTCGCTCGTGGAGTAATCTTATTTTCATTTACTAATAATTCTTCAAAAGTTTTGATACCCCAGTGGTATTTCAGACATCTAGCAGCTGTGGAGAGCGCCGAAACCTTAACCTTGAAAGCAAAAATTTATCTCTTATAGAGTTTTGTGGGACTTGTGCTCCAACTTTGAAGTAAAAATATCGACTTGGTTTCTACCTTGTGTCATAACCAATTTGCCATTTAAATTTCTGTTCTATAGAGCCACTGCTGCATATTGGAAGTAAAGAAAAACATCTGCGGTGACGGAGAAAAAACTAACTTCTCCGGGGACCAGAGCTCCTTTTACACACTGTTCTTCCATTTCCCGGGTGAAAAGCGCATGTAGATCTCCTGTAAATATATGTGAGGTAATAATTTTTTATATACAATGTGGATATAAAACCCGACCTTCTGACGTCACCGTGAATTTGCTTGTTCCATGCACTTGAATTAATCCACGATTGACGTAAAACGGTGTTTGACGGAATATGAGGGTTACATTCGACTTATTCAAGGACGACTGGAAAAGAAACTCTATGAGTCGGATCCATACATGGATGTAATTTAATGTACAGCACAAAAGTAATTTATATTACATTAATACTATAAATCAATGCTGACACATAATGAGCTAGATAAATTGGGTACAATAAACAAATTGCAGGCAGAGTGGATGAAGTGCATTGTTTCCAATGCATTTCGAGTTCAGCGGTTTATTTTATCGCGCGAAGTCCACTTTTTTTCACTTTTTCTTTAATCGACAGCTTAGCCAATAGTAGGTAATGCGCCAGTTATGAACTGTAAGAGCTGTGTTATATTTTGAACACCTATAGGCAGTTGAAGATAATTTAATGAAAGCAATTCATACCACTGCATTAGTATGGCTCAAGTTCGAAACACACTATTTGCTAGTAATTTGTTTTACTCACTGGATGAAGTTAAGCTTTACATTCTTCCTAACAATGGTTGCCTCACCTCTTTCGAAAAAAATTCTGGTTGAATGTACGGCCTTGCGACAAATTGTGTTCCATAGTCGTTTTGTCGACCCTATAATCGATTAGATATTCCAAAAGTCAAAAGGATAAAGGATAAAGCTCTTGGTGTTGTTCAATTTTTGAGGATGGGCCCTGCGTTCTACTTCATTAAGCATAGTTTGGAGGTGATTTAATGCATACCTGTCCTTTAAAAGACTCGCGGTGGCCAACCTATTTATCGAGCCAGCGCTGCTACCCTTCCAGAGAAGTGTGGTGACAGTTTGCCAACCCCTGAAGGATTGATGGCTTAGCGGGCCATTGGTGCCGAGATCGACTCCACGTGTGTGCCTCAGGGCGCCTCCGACCACTATGCCACACGCATCCTTTTTCCCAGAGTTACGCCAGGTTTAGGACGGCTACCACATTTGACTGGTAGTCACCCAATTGAACTTCGACCACTTTTGTGGTCATCAATTGCAAACCAGGCATGGCCATACGCTATAGTCAGTACTGATGAAAATGACTTGACAATAAGACTAGAAGCTATAGGTTAAAATCAGCACCAGATAAGTAAAAAAAACTTACGGCAAGAATGGCAGGACAGACTAATCTCCGATAGATCTCGGCACCGAAAAATGTCTCAGGCTCAAATCCGAGCTTGATTAGGTGTCCCCATACTCCATCTTGAGCTGCCCTATCAGAATAAATAGTATACGATGGTAAAAATCAAACGTAGCCGATGCAGCTGTAAATTGTTTAATGAAAACTCGAAACCAAACCAACGTATTTTAGAGAGTGATTCGCTGTATAATCCGCTTTAAACACCGAGTTGACGTGGAATACAATAAATTAACGCAAAAATGTTTTTTCAATCCGTCAAAATTATTCTTCTCTTTGTTCTACTTTTTATTTTCTGGGTATTACGCGAAATACAACCACAAGATTGCTGAGATGTTTGCAGAACTCCTGACCGCAGGTGTCTGCGGTGAGGAACGAACGCGTTATTGCCCTTTCCAGGGATTAACGCGTTCACCACCATACCATGTGGGTCCTTCGTTTCGCCTGTCTCTCAGCTAGTTCTCTAGGATGTGGGCTTCCCAGATCAATCCCGTTGACGAATGATTGCTGACGGCACTGATCGATAGAACTAGCTGAATGACAGGCGAAACGAGGGACCCATATGGTGTGGTGATGAATGAGTTACTCCCCGGAAAGGGCAATAATGCGCTAGTTTCCCAACGCAGACACCTGCGTTCCGGCGTTTTGCAAATATCTCAGCAATCTTGCCGTTGTATTTCGCTTATGAGACGTGAAGATGCCAGCCTTTCAACGCCGTCTATGACACCGGAGAAGAACTGTTCCTCGGAACATGTGATAGTAGAGGAGTCGGCGGCGTCGGCGTTCTCGTCAACACGAGCTTATCCATGAACATCGATTCATTCGAACAACTTACAACCCGAATCGGACGTTTGCGATTACGAAGACGTGGATCAATTCTGGCCTTGATAATCTTCATCATCTAAGCGCCGACATCAAACTATGACGAAGAAGAAGTCGAAGCGTTCTATATGGACATGAGGAAGTTCTACAGAAAAGACCACACGTTCCTCAAGGTCATCATTGGAGATTTCAACGCCAAGATTGGACCAAGAAGAACGTCAGAAAAACGTCACATTGGGACCCACGGATAGGAATGGAACGAACTGGGTGAGCGACTATCTGAGTTTATGAAGGCTACCAAGACGATCCACGGTAACTCGCAATTACAGAAGCCCCACCCTCAGCGCTGGACGTGGGAGTCTGCTAGTGTGGAGTACCATAACGAAATAGACCACATCATAGTAAATAGAAGGTTTTGCTTAACCGATATCGCCGTTGTCTCAACATTTTACACGGCATCATACAACCTCCTCTTCAGTGCGAGATTCTATTCCTCACAGAAAGGAGAAAAGCCACTAGATTCCAAAACTGAACTCCCAAAACCACTGTAAACTGGGATTTATTTAATTCATTAGTCGGCTGTTAGAAAGATGCCGTTGTCGTTAGCATCGACGAAGAATACGATCGGCTCATTCAACATCTTCACGCTAGCGCTATGAAAGCTGAGAGTTTGAAAGTCACCAAGAGATGTCTGTCTCCACAAACACTCGAGCTGATACGCTAGCATGGAATCGCACGAGCTGTAGGCAACCGCGAACTAGCGTCCAAAGTTGCAAAACAATGCAGACAGGCGATAAACGAAGATCTTAAAGAGAGAAGAGCAGCAGTAACGGTCGAAGCTGCAGAGACTGGGAAAAGCATTCGTAAAGCCCACCGACCCCTCGCCAATTACAGGATCAAGGCGATTGCACTTTGACGCCCAGACGGAACAGTTACAGCGTCCAGAAGGGCAGTGGAGAAAATCATTCACGGCTACTACTCAGATCTCTTCAATTGCCACATCTTCCTTTCGTCATATGAAATAAAGGAGCATGGATATGTTGTACCACTCGTTCTTCCTTCCGAAATCCGACATGCCATCTCGTCGGTGAAAAATCGAACAGCACCAGATCCCGAGAGGATAAGACCAGAACACCTGGTGAACCTTCCGCCAGTCCTCGTAAACACACTAGCTCGGCTATTCACACGTTACCTGTTTGAATGCAAGGTCCCTACTCAGTGGAAGACCAGTAAAACCGTGTTATTGTTTAAGAAGGGTGACCTGCACGATATCGGCGACTATCGCCCAATCTGCTTAGTGTCCGTCGTCTGCAAACTTTTCGCTGGAGTTATCCCAAATAGGATTGGCTGAACACTGGACGAAGGAAAGCCATGTGAGCAAGCAGGGTTTTGAAGAGGATTCAGTACGATGGACCACATCCACACGGCAACACGGCTCATTGAAGTATCGCGAGAGAAAAAAAGGCCACTCTGTCTCACTTTCATCGATTTACAGAAGGCCTTTAATTCAGTTGAGATAGAAGCAGTTTTGGAAGCCCTTGATAGTCAAGGAGTGCCTACTCAGTACATAAAGATTCTTCGTAAGCTGTACAAAAATTTCATATCCATGATGTCACCATTCTACAACGATATTAACATTGACGTTAAAAAATTATTCACCGCCGCCAGAAAGTTATGCGAACATTGGAATGGAAGAACATAGGAGTGAAAATCGACGGTCGGCGGTTAGACCGTCTTTGCTTTGCTGATGACATCGTCCTTGTAACACTAAACATTATCCAAGCGGAACGTATGCCTGACGACTTTGATAAAGCTTGTGGAAAGATTTGTCTTCGGCTAAATTTCACAAAAACGATGTTCATGAAGAACGGATTGGTTTCGCATGCCCCATTCACGCTCAACGGAACGATTATCTCCGAATGCTCCAGTTATATCCATTTAGGTCGGGAAATCACCATAATGAACGACCTAGCTGCAGAGCTAAGCAGAAAAAAACGAGCGGCTTGGGGAACTTTCAAGAGCACCGAAGCAGTAGTGAGAAGAACAAAGAACACCCGACTCCCTGCCCACCTTTTCGACTCAATGGTATTTCCTGCCCTAATGTATACGCCAGAAATCTGGTCCCTGCGTAGGCACGATGGAAGATTGGTCAGCGTTATCGAACGCGCAGTCGAAAGGACGATGCTAGGAGTATCCCGTTCCACACAAATAAGAGATGGGACCCGAAGCTCCGACCTGTTTCAACGACCAAAAATCAAAGATGCCGTCCTGTACGCCAAACATTCGAAGATAAGGTGGGCTGGACAGGTAACGCGTATGAATGACAACCGATGGATAAGAGCCGTTAGTGGCTGGATTCCTGGGGATGTTAAACGTACTGCAGGAAGACTACCGACCCCATGGTCAGCGTTCTTCACAAACAGCCTTGAAGGAAGGTATGGTAATTGATGAGTCCCTAGAGCGAGCAGAACCCACTGAGCTACTCTTGCACGCGACAGGGAAAAATGGAAGATTTACTGGCGCCCGCTCAAGTCACTCGACAATCAACTGGATAACAGGGAATACGGATGACCCTGCCATTAAAATTATGGAAGCAGAAAATAAAAAGTAAAACATTGTAAATGAAAGTACAGCCTCAGCTTAACTGGGTTCAATGCCGATGTGGGCTCCACAGATCAATCCCGTTACTGACGGCACTGATCAATAGAACTAGCTGAGAGACAGGTGAAACAAAGGATCCGCATGGTGTGGTCGTGAACGCGTTACTCCTCGGAAAGGACAATAGCGCGTTCGTTCCCCACCGCAAACAGCTGCGGTCCGGAGTTTTGCAAATATCTCAACAATCTTGTGGTTGAATTTCTTCTCTATTCGATAAAAGTGCATTTAAGTATAAGATGGAAACAATTGCCTGTAGACGAGCTCCTCGATTGCTGGGCCCAGTTCTAAGTCAAGTGCTGCTCGTAATTTTTGTTCCAGTGACATCTAGACTCCGGAATAATTCTATTATATCTTAATAGTTTAAAATGCATAGGAACAGAAAGGCAACGAGGTCGTAATTTGTGCGTTACCGTAAGGATTTATTTGGGATGAAATTAAACGCTCCTGTATGAGGACGTGGCTGCCCTTCATAATATCAAATGTAGTTTCTAACTCAGCATTTAATGTCCTTAACATAAAAGAGAATCCGTTTCACTAGTGACGCTTCAATTGAATTTTTTTCGGTTAAACGGATCATGTAACATATTAGTAGGGAGAACAGTAGTTGTTTCTTTTAAAATACCGCGAGTGCGTTTGGTTAGAAGAAACGCTGTCGACCACAAGTGCTTCTTCTACTTCTCTTGTTGCTAGCGTATTCCATAGCAGATACGAAAACGATACGCACTGATCTGGTGTTGAAATCCCATAGATTTTTCGATAGTTCGTAAATAAGTGGAATCGCTTGAAATGCGACAGCTGCTTTGGCAAGATTTCGCATATTACGGTAGAGTGGGCGCAATGTCGGATAGATCTGAAACAAAGTATCTATGGGACCAAAGCATCTCGACTTTTATCCACTGCCAATTCCTTTATGACATGGTACAATATGAAGTATTTCCAAAAGTATACTGAGATTTGATAAAAACTTGGAATCTCAGGTGACCTTCAAACCCACAGTTACCTTTTCTGGTGGTCACGCGCAGCTTCAGCTTAACAGGGCTCAAATTTCAAGAGTTTTAATTTGATATCCTGTGCTGTTCGCCACAATAACGTAGTCTAAGAACATTCAACACATTCGTGCTGACACGACCCATACACGAGTTATTTCATTTCCAACCGTTTCTTTTAGTGCACAAGTTTTCTTTCTTGTTTTGTCTTTTGTATTTGTAAATGGTTTCCTCAACAACGTAATAACCATTGGTCCACGGAGAAAAACTGTTTTTCCGCTGTGGCCAAAAAAGCTGTAGCCATATATATATATATATATATAAAACATAGTAATGAGGGATAAAGGGTAAAGCTCTTGGAGCTAATCAATCGCTGAGGAATGCACCATGCATTCGACATCGTTAAGCATCGTTTAAGGGTGATTAAATGCGTATCTGGCCTTTACAATGACTCCCGGTGGCCTACCGATGCATCGAGCCAGTGCTGCTGTGCTCCCAGACAAGTACCGATTTGTCGATCCTGGAGGAATGGAAGGCTTAGTGGGCCATGCGCATGGGAATCGATCCTACTTGTGTATTGGAGGGCGTCTCCGACCACTGCGCCACACGCACTCTCTATTAAGTAAATAGTAGTAACATAATATAATAATACAAGCACGTATAGGTATATATAATGCTGATTACATACTCACGTGCCGTGTACCCATCAGGTGCGCTAGGAATATGAAGTAGAATGAATGAAAGAAAAGCTTGCAGCAGACAACTACGAAATGAACTTACGTGATAAAGCATTTCAATGAAGGCGTCCTTCGGAAAATCTTCGACGCAGGTCCTTTGGGCTGATTCGGTGCATTTTCCTGCAAAAGCATGTCTACAACTTATTAATTTTTGGTGTGTAGCACAAAACGACATCTTTACTTTAAGATACGAGTAATATTAAAAAATCTATGCTAAAAAAGCCGACGAAATCTGATTGGAAACAGATTGGATAAAAATCACTACTAACCAACATCCATAAGAAAAACATTTTTCTGCTTTTTTTCTAGCTCTAAAATCGTTTTTCTCGATAAGGACAACATTGGAAGTAACCTTGTGGAATTCAGTGCTTATTTTCCAGTTTTTCAACAGTTAGTCCAGGAGTCCACCATAGCGAACTCGTCGGCATCTTTAGGGACGCTACAACTCGTACGCTAGAGCTCATTTGAACCGAAGACTATCTTAAATCCAACTTAAGTTATTTGAAGCGTAGTTTAAAGAACCACATCGTGGAATCCTTGTAAAAAACTTATTTGCCTTAGTTGTGGTACGCCATCTCTATGGTAGTAGACAAGCAATTGTTTGAAGCAGTTGAAGTCTGGTTTGCCGCTGGCACAGATCGGCCTCACTTCTGTTAGTCATGACGTGCTACATTTTGGGCGACCAGATATGGGTCAATAGTGGGGTTGCACCAAATTGAAATTCAGGATAAATTTTAAAAAGTGCATAATATTTCCTCTTCTATAAAACGTCGCTTATAATTTACAGGGTGCGTGTAGCGCAGTGGCCGGAGACGATCTACAACACACAAGTGGAGTCGATTCCTGCGTCCGTGGCTCACCAAGCCTTCCATCCCTCCGTGGTCGGCCTATTGGTGCCAAACTTGTTTTGGGGGATAGCAGCACTGTCTCGATACATTGGTAGGCGACCACAAGTCATTATTAAAAGCTGGATATGTATTCAATCATCTCTAAAGGATGCTTAATAAAGTCGAATGCATGGCGTATCCCTAAGAGATTGATCAGGTCCGAGAGCTTTAGAGCTTTATAACATTTACAAGTGAACTTCCACGAATTCGGTAATTGCTAAACAATAAGAAAAATTCTATCGCCCAATAAAGCCTTGAATGTGGATGAAGACAGGTAATAATGTATATACTTGATGAATGGATATTGAAAATAAATAGACGACGTTCTTTCAAACGTAATTTAACTCACTCATATATGGTGAGAACAATGCGATCAATTCTCGATATACACGAATTGGAGTGTCTTGAGCAAAGTGAATCGTCAGATCTCCTTCTTCGAATGTCGGAAGTGGTTCGATTAGCTGAAACGTCATTGTACTGTGTTATACTATATTAGCAGTATTTTTGCTATTTCTTACCATTCTGCACTACTCCTTAAAGAATGTTATGAATGAACTATAAGGGTACGGGGGCGGAGTAGCGCAGTGGATTATGATGTACTTCATCAGCAAACAAGGTGCTTAGTTCGATCGATTCTCCGCCCCTCGCCCCCACTCCCTTTCCACCACCGTTTTTCCGCAATCCATTTTTGTTATCCCAGGATTGCAAAGATAATCGTCTCGACCAGCGCTCTATGACCTCCGTAAAGAAGGCGGAGTCAGGCAGAAACCGAAGCAACACCAGAAATGCCAGAAAAAAGAATCGAGTGCGAGAGAAGTGCAATGGTCTACAGGGTTAATGATGTAGGAAAAAAATTTTACTATATAATATAAAGCGTAGAAGGATAATGCTTTCGACGTCTATGAATCCCATTGGATGTGTCATGCACAAAACTCTACTAAGCAGAGGTGGTCGTAGAGATGAACATAATTATCTTTAGCTAATGCAGTGACTCATGGAGGGCTATTGATATACCAGTGCTTCTACCCTTTCAGCTGAGTGTGATACCTATCTGCCGATAGGGAGGACGAAGGATTTGGTTTACCGATGCATGGTGAAGAACCTACGACTACGTGTGGGCCGCGGGCTATCTTTAACTAATTTGTTAAAGACGCTTTAGCGTAGGACATATCTGAGCAAAATCTTCAGCAATTCGAAGAAAGTAGTATTAGACCACTAAAGAAAAAGAACAGATAACTTTCGAAAAAAAAGCATGCACTAAAGAATAAACTCAGACTTAGTCACTTGAGTAGTCAAAAGTGGTATACCTTCTGCGCGAGTTTACGCAGATGCTCTTTGCAACGATGTCGAAAGAAAATCCCAAAAAAAATGATCCGTGGATATTTCGGAAAAGCGCCTCACTTCTTATCCCCGGCACAATTTTATGCTCTTTGCTGTGTTTCGAAAGTAATGAAAAATAACATCAGAAACGACTAATTTTGGGTAACCAACCACAGCTTTCTAATAGAGTATACATAGCAAAAGCATTGCGAAGATTTTCTTTCAAAGGGCACTCGTCAATTTAGACTTAATGATCTACCTGTTATAGAGATGTAGTAGTTACACCAAGACAAGATGAAAAGGATAAAGGGTGAACCTCTCGGCGTTGATCAATCGCTGAGGGATGCGCCATGCATTCGACTTTATCACGTATCGTTAGAGATGATTAAATGCATATCTGGCTTACACATTGATTCGCGGCAGCATACCGATATGTTGAGTCAGTGCTGCTATTCTCCCAAATAGGTCTGGTACCAATTTTCCGACCTCGGAGGCATGGGAGGCTTGATTAGTCATAGGCGAGGAGTCGAGCCCATGTGTATTGCTGGACACTTCTGATCACTGGGCTATACAACATCCACCATTACAGGGGGTAGGATAAACTACCGTATGTCTAAAAGTGATATAGGCTTATGGGCACTTCAATTCAGTTTTATTGAATTCCGACTCTAAAAGTAAATAAATAAAAATTTCAACATTAAATCTATCACCTTGTTTAGAATACGTAGTTCGAATTTCACACTACCGACAGCGTCATTCGTCACCTCGAATGAGATCGGACGAGCTTTTGGATAGAATTCGAACACATCCTTAACATAATAGTCCCATAAAAAATTGCTTAAATCATTACTATCACAAGCGCTGATGAATGTATAGGGAAAAAAGTTGCATTAGAAGAGCTCTAGACCCGAAATGCACATTATTTGTTTTTAACAACTAAATTCGATGATCATTAAGTTTAGAAAAGTGGTAATGAGGACTTAGGGAAAGACGGAAAACGATGGGAGAAAGGGAAGCAGCAGTATTTATCTGTAAGGAAAAAAATCGCTTAGAATGCCACTAATCACTGGCAGACTCGATTGGAACTCACCACTGTCGCTTACGAGATCAATCTAACATGGTGAGCTCGCTTAGTACTAAGGACAAGGGGGCTACACAATTTTTCTATGGTGCACTTATTTTTAGCGTTGCTGGCAAGACGAAAACCAAGAAAAGCGTACCACTTCCTCTTTAAAAGGGTATTTGACTTATGCCTTGGAGTCCATGCAAGTGCAACCATGCACAAGGGAACTAAGTAAAACGACAATCCCCTTCTAGGCTCCGAAGAAGGAGATTCTGGCGAAACGTCAGTTACGGTTGTGTTGTATGTCTGTTATTGTATGGAAGTAAGCGTATGCTGTTTAACAATCTGGCAATTGCTAAGAAAGAAAGCGATGAAAAACGACAAAACTACAGAAGACCAGCATGTCAGTACGCTTCAGTACGAACAAACCAGCACACTCTTTGTATTCCTGTGGATTTCAAAGAATACAGATTTATTTGAATGCTTACTCTCTTCTCTACCTTGGCTAGACCGTGTCACAGAGCCTAGTAACTAACCAAGTCAGGAGCCTGCTCGTGGGGAGTATCGGGAGAAATCTCTCTACCAAAAGGCTAGGTGGATTTGTATAAAGTGACTCTTCTAACAGTGTGCTAGACATATTGAAAAACTCGTTTTTAACTTAAGAGCATCTAAGAGTGACCGTGTTTTGAATTGATTTGTTAGACTAACGCGTATCATTGCCAAAAATGCTATTTCGTTACATACTAACTGGTTTATGTTAAAGACATTGGTGTTCGCTGCATTTTGCCAAAGTTCTGGTTTTTCACCTGACTGAAAAGGCAGTGAGTTCGTTGATAAACTTTTAAGTTATTGATAAGCTTAATATGGTAAACATTTCGGCGTATTCTTCTTCCTCTCAGCCCCAATAATTAAAGTCGAGTGTCCACAGCAGCTGTTTTTTGCGATGCGGGCACGAGAACAAAACGCTGCCAGAGTGGGGGCATTTAACACTCCCACGTATTTGACTCAATGAGAATAATCGGAGCACATCGCAAAAATTAACGGCGGTGCATATTCATCACGTATCATTGTGGCTCTAAACAAGAAAAGGAGTAGAAGCTGTAGCCATAATAAAGTTTTTAAAAACATTGTTCAAGCTTGTCAATAAACTAAGCTACCTGCACTTCGAGGTTAAGTGGAAGCATGTATGAAAATGTAGCAAGACTTTTACATCATGGGCATCAAATGAGCAAAAAACACTGGAATGCTGGCAGGGCATTCAGTAAGAGCCAGTACTAGCTCACTGTGAAGTAGAATATGGTCTTTGTCATTAAAGCAAACGCCATCAAAATGCGAAATACCGGTCGCCAGATTGGTGTTTCTCGTTGAAACACAAAGCCATTCGACTGCATTTGCGCGAAACAAGTGTTGGATTTGGGATCCCGCATAAACCAATGCGGAGTTGTGAATATTAGTTAAAGTGAAGTTGTAAATAAAAGCACAGAGTACAATTGATCAAAGCACCTTATCAACGACTTTCAATATCGTCGCGCCAGCAATTCCGACTTTGATTCTCATCTGAACGATTATTCGCCATTCGTATTCCGGTACTGTTGAACATGAGAATTTGATAGTACACTGATTTTCCTGCAAAAAAAACTCCTCAAATCGTCTTCTTATTGGTGACAGAAACTTATGTGTCTTCGCAGTTCCAGGCGAATTCATGTCCATTTTCATGTGCACATGCTAATAGAGGACAGCGCAGCTGCTTCCATTACAGTCTTTTCTATGCGTTTATTTGTTTTCGCGCTAAATAAGGTAAAATGAACGCTTCTCCAAAAGGATTTTTTTTGGAATAATTTAAACATGTCGTCTCGACGGGGAGAACTCGCATAACCCGATCTAGAAAGAATTGCGCTCGACCATCTGATGACCCTACCTCTACTCTCATCAAGACGCTAATTCTGCTTTTTAGACCTACTTCAGAATGTAACGTGTGGCGACAGCGCTTTGTTTCACAGAAACAGAAGTCTACACAACATCGGTAATCATTTTCTAGGAAGAGTCCAGTGTTCCGGCCAATGTGGGCGATCAACGATGAGAGGCACTGTGCCAAAATGTTAAATACCACCAGTATTGCAATCTTTCAGCCCTTGCTCTTAAATTTTCTACAACGATTAAAGTCTATCATATCATTTTGGGAACACTTTCAATTCGGCACCACGCCGCTCCCATACGACCACCTTATTATACTCATTTCTGTAATCTGTCCATCATTTTTCTTGTTGCTGTACATAGACACCTTCATGAAAAAATCGTTGTCGACTATTTTGTTCAACAGCTTTTCTTTCTTTCAACAAATTGTAGCATTCTATCGAGTAGGTCGCTCATTCACAGAATTCTGTTCTACGTACTTGATCATTCTAAAGCGATAATCGAAGCTTCTTGTTTAAAAACTACTGATGAGAGTGTAGGAGTTCAACATTGACAGTTTAATCAACGTTGGAAGTTGAATATCACAGGATAAATGAAACGCTCGATAAGTAGGTTGCTCATGAAATAAATGAATTACGCCGAGGTTGTCTTTACGAGGTACGTTCAGTACTTTTTTTTACATTAGAACGAACTAGAAGTGGATCATACACGTGCACTGATGATGATACACTCGGTGGTTGCACCAAGATGAAGCTTAGTACCATTTGCATAATTTGCATATTTAGAGTACAAAATCGAAATAGCACTAGACCAAAACCGTACCTCCAATGCGTATTCTTTATTATATCTTCCTATCCAATGCATGTGCCAATGTAACACTTACAATTGCATATTTGTCTTACAAGCTCGCAGATTACTCCATCATATCATTCACATAGCGTAATCCAGTTGCCTACCAGTCTGCCACTCGCAGCAATATTTAGTATACAAGTTCCAAATTTTATACCTGCTCGATACTTGAACAGCTCATCCTCGTTGGTTGTGCGGGCTTCAGCAAAACATATGTTTCGGGGACTTTTTGGCTAATCCACCGTGGTTCCCTGGAATCCAAAGGTCAGCCTGGGCAAAGTCTGCTCCAGGTCTTCACCACGACAGAGTCGCCAGGACGTGGTATTGGTTTACTCTTAGCTAGGCCTCTCGGTGGAAATGCCTGATTCCTTCTCAGCTTGGGAGACCCTGCCAGGGGATGAATCCCCCTGTACATCTCAGCCTGACACCCAGGACACCCAGGAACACCCTTTCAGTCACGATTAGGTGATAAACCGTTAAAATTTTGTGTAGGCGATAATAGAAGATAAACAATGAGGCGTTCTCGTTAAATAATTTCTTCGTGATGCGTGATGCGTCATACATTCGACTCCATACGCACCATTATAGAGGTAGGTGGTTAAATGCATATTTGGCTTACACGATAAGTTGCGAGAAAAAACGCTCCAAGTAGTGTATTTCCTTTTCCAGATGAATCACCAATTCACCAATCACCAGAGGCACCAATTTGCTACCGGCTCTGGTTGGATGGAGGGTTTGATTGGCCCGAGACGTGGGTAGGAGCATCAGAATATGTGAAGCAGAACACCTCTAATCAAAAAATAATGCGTGACTTATCAGTGTGCAGTATGAGATCTATTCTTCCTAGTAATCCTATAAAGGTTGATATAGAAGGATACACCGAATACCATTTTTTTGGCCTCTATTTGACTGCGGTGTTAATTCATGAAGCATGTTTTGCAGCTCTTTGGCAAGACAACGACCGTCAGTGCTTTTAGCGCTTGTTGGAGTGACCACAAAATATGGACGTTCATTGATCATTTATGGACGACATGGAAACCTAGTAGGGCATCCGAAATTCTAGAAAAAGAAAACCTTGCCAAATCAGCAGATTACCAGTGAAATAGAAATTGCGCTGCAGTGCGCACGTTCCTTAAGGACACGATGCCTCACGATGAGTTCACTTCAAGTATCTCGATTAGTTTCGATTTGTTGTGCCGCTGTTTCAGCCACATGCTGAGCAACATGAACTGGGCTCAGTTCTTTGTTTTCTTTTCGGACTCAGATCAATACATTTTGATGAAACTTTAATCTGTTACTGCAGTACTTCGCACTAGTGGAAGAGTTGGAGAAACTGACTATACGTAATTCAAAATGAAAAAATCACCACACCTGTTTTACCTGATTAACGGTGAAAAGAAAGTGCTCGTATTCAAATTCACTCGAACCAGGTCGAATTCGTACACCTTGTAAGCCGACGTCGTCGACGGACAGTTGAAACTGGATGAATCCGAATGACGGATCGTCAATTTCTTCTGCTGTTTCACATTCCTGCAACGGATTATATTGCAATTTAGAAAACTCCAGAATGGCTGGAAAATCCGAGGGTGCGCGTGGTAGGTGCGAAAGGAGCTCGAAACTGAAACTGTGTGACAAAAGTGAATGGTCGCATCATCAGCACATACGACAAAAATGTTACGAAGGCTTAATATTTCCTCACAAATCAATGAGTCACCGCTAAGACGATAAAGCCCAACTCCAAATATCGGACGTCAGCAACGTACCTCCGTTGTAATGATACTGCTTCCTGTGCTCATATCTTATTGTACTAAACTGTTGCAACTGTTATCGACAGATGATGAGTTGTAAATGAATCCTACCGATTGAGCGAAGTCAGTGTGTATAACATGATATCAGCTGAAAAGCCATGTATGCAGTAATAACTGCCACAAAGATTCTTATCTGAGGCTTCCTCTGCGTGAACTAAAATAGATTCAAGAAGATCGTCTTTTTTCCTGATTAGTTTTATGAACCAGTCAATCAGTTTCTTAAGCAAATGCTGGAAAAGCTTCGCTTTTGGTCTCTGCGCGTAGCCTTAGGTTCAGAAGTGCCCAACAGTACATACCTATCTTTTTCAACCCCCTTCCCGGACTAGTGAGGGCTCATCATTGTCCATAGTTAGCAAAATGGTATCAGATTTCTATGAGAGAACAAAAAACACTGGCTTGATGCATTTACAGATCCCTGTAAGATATTGTATGTGACAAGTATGTACTGACTAATTGTTCCAATGCCATAAATGGCTTGCGAATTCGCTGCGCACCAGGAAAGGTCTGGTTAACGATGAATTCTTTATTTTCTATCTTTTATTACCGGCGCCGAATAGGGTTTCAGCTTAAGTGCTCGTTCATGGCTATGAGCTCCTGCTTTCCTATATTTCTTAAGTGACGTAGTAAAGGAAGCAAAACGAAATGGAACAAACAGATAGATCTATCGTAGATCTTTGAAATGATGGCATATTTCGATAACAAAGAAAGAAAATACGACCACAATGATGCTGAGAAGTGATCAAACTCGGAACCTCAGGTGGGCTTCGCAACCGTGGCTTCCTTTAACAGGATTCTCGTGCTGTCAACCGCACCAACAGAAACCCATGCTATGTCCTCTCCTTAACCATGTTTTCACTTTATCAATTCTATCAGAAACATGTGTGAGAGAAAGGTAAAACAATGGTTCTTGTTGGCATGGTGGATAGTACATGAGACCACGATAGGGGTAATCGAAGGTTGGCAAGACACTCCAGTTTCCCAGTTTTCCTCCTATCTCAACGTCTCTTGGTTTCATTTCACATAGCACCCCGACATGGAAAGAAGTAAATGGCAGCAACTAAAAGTTAGGCCATGAAAAAGGAATTTTTCTTACTGCAGTGAAAATAGCACTATCATTTCACGCTCTGTACCTTCTCATCGATTTTTGATGTAGAGCAGTGCAGCCATCAACCATATGCGACTCTAACCAGCCGTTCTTCCTCATTGGAAAGCGCTTAAAAAACGGTGGGCTTTCAAGAAGATGTTGATCATGTGATTGTCATATAGATTTCCATCTTTCTGTGTCTGAACAAGGCGATACTGCCAATGCGCCAGCTACTGTGGTGCTGTATGGGGTAAACGTGTGCTGCATAACAACCTCGCTATTGTTGAAAAGAAAACGACGCACCATCATATCAGTCGATATTTTCTTTGCCCTAGATACATTGCCTACCGTCAGATGTCAAGAATTTAAGAAAAAGAAGAATACAACCACGATGATGCTCAGATGTTTGCAAAACTCTGGACCGCAGGTGTCTGTGCAGAGAATCGAACATGCTATTACCCTTTCCGGAGGCTGGCGCGTTCACCACCGCACCATGCATGTCCTTCGTTTAGCTTGCCTCTCGTCTGGTTTTCTATTTACAAGTGTCATCGGTAATCAGCCGTCAACGGGATTGATCTGGGAAGCACAAATAGGAATTAGACAAAGTTAAGATGGTGCTGCAGTTGAAATCACAATGTTAGCTTTATTTGCTTTCTATTACAATTATAGTAATTGTTTCCTATACTAAAAAAAGGGAAGGAAACCCTTATGGTGTGGTGGTGAAAGCGTTAGTCCCGGAAAGGATAATAACGTGTTCGATTCCCACCGCAGCCACCTGCTGCTCAAACTTTTTCAAATATCTCAGCATCATTGTGGTTGTATTTCAAATAATATCCTACCGTGAAAAAAAGAAGGTAGCAAATAAAAGATTAACGAAGGAAAGAATATCATCAAATTTAGTAAAATTCAAAAAATTAGGGTCTAAAAGTCGCTACGATATGAAAACTGTTAAGAACTGAAGCATGCTTAGGCTTTTTCACAATGGAATTTATAAATTAACCACTCCTTAACATTCTCAGTATTTTGGGATACTTGACGGTCATTCGTTTAAGAAAGTCTTTTGCTTGGAAAGATAAAAAACAATAACTTGACATACTGATAGGCCTTCGCAAATTACTGGATAACAGACCAAATTTTGTGTTCAGTTACTCTTAACGTCCTCCGAATAGAATCGAATGCATAAATTTCAAAGAAATTGTTCGGCGCTGAGTGATTTACCTTTAATCTTTCGTAATTTTCAAAGATCAGAAAAGTAAGCAACATGGAAGTCGACTTTAATGTGTTCAAATGATGTCGTTAACGAATGGTATTCTCGAGCAATAATATCGTTGTGGCGTATTATTGGCCCTTGAACACCGTTCGCCTAGTCGACCTCAAATCTTTCTAGCACTGATGAGCATTTGATTATTTGTACTAATAGTGCCGAGTTAGCGATTGATTTTCTACTTTTCTTCTCGCTTTTGTTTTTTCTTCAATGAAACCTCTCATAAAAGATTTCAAAGAATCGTGGACGAGTTTTCCAGCTAATGTGTTCTCAAACAACGCCGAAGGCGTCGCTACACTGCCACGCAACTGGCAGGAAGAGAGACGAGGAAATGGAAGAGCAGAGGGTAGAGTGAAAGAGATAGAAAGACAGACGGGAAGTCGGACGGAGGAATAGAAGAGAGATAAACTGACAAACGGATAGAAGTACAGGCAGACAGACTGAAAGGCAGGCGGAAAGATACGCCGATAGCCAAGAAGGCAGGGAGGTAAGACAGAGGGACGAACAAACGGCGGAGCAGACAGTTAGATAGATGGACCGAAAGTGAGATAAGTAGGGAGAGATACAGGTAAAGAGACAGACAAGCAGACAAACCGAATGTTACGACGATGATGACGATGACGACGCGGAACATCGATTAGGATGCGATGCCTCTGAAAAGCATTCATGTTGGTTTCGAATGACAAAGAAAAAAAATGACAATGCTTCAGGCGAGCTTATTAACATCACACAGGCAGACACAAGCACAATGGTCCATAGAAGTCGATATTGAATGCCGTGAAATTGTGAAAAGCGGCACTGATCGCCACAGTTGACTAGACAGTGCTGAATCCGCATGAATATAGAGATTTCGAAGTCGAAACAGAACGTACGAGAATGAAGCAGCAGTGAATAGACGGCAGTAAATTTAGAAATCCACACAGAAGAAGCAATGGACTGAGAAATCCCGTAGTTATACTGGAATTTCGTAACTGATTTTTCCATGAAACACGTATTGATGAAGATACTTTCTGTCTTCAATATGTACCCGACCTGAAGCGCGAATGTTTAAATGTTTTCGCCCTATTAGAAGAGGTCTTATAAAGGACTATAGGAGAGAGAATGTAGAGACCGTTAGGCAGATGATGTCATTTTGTGTAGTTACAGAAAGACAAACACTCCTAAAAGTGTGACAGGTAAGCAATTAGGAAACGAAAACTGTGAGAACCATAAGTGTCATGATTCCCAAGGTCTTGTAGTGGCTGTAGGTGAAGACAATGAGGCTGATGTCTTTGTAATGGGTTAGAAATTAGGGATGAAACTAAAAAAAGCTGGAAAGCCTCATTATGCAAATGTTCTGTATACCACAATGAGGACCAGTATTTCTTAAAACCAAATGCACAAATGATGTCAGATGACATCAATTTTGTGTGAATGAATGAATAAATGCGAATTTATTGATGATGATGCTTCGCATATTTCGGCCTTTTTTGTTTCCCTTTTTGTTCATTTGACCTCTAAACCACAAAATTTTCCGTTAAATACCCAGTTTCACTTTATGTGCTCGAAATGATCGGTAATATTAATGAGAAATAGAAAGAATTAAAAATTAAAGTGCTGTTGTGTTGACGTTGTTTTTTTTCTCAAATCCTACCTAGAACGATGCAAGCTGCAATGAAGGTTATGGTAAAAGATAGTGCAGGCCATATTTCTCTAATTATGAGGAACTATGTGTTTTACTGCCTACAGTCATATTAACAGTGGTGAAAAGTAGACAAGCTACACTGATTTTTCATTTCTTACTTAAATGTGCAGTACTACACTGATTCGTCTCGACACGTCGAGGAAGGAGCCACATCGAGAGGTCGAACGACTGTGGACCCATCGACTCGGATCAGCGGCACTCAGCAAGCCGAAGACATTGCAATGTTATTTGAGTAAAAGTTTGGCAGCAACCTCGTGTTGGTTTGTCACTGAAAAAAAATACTTTACCTAACTGTGTTTATTAGAAGCCGGATGTGAAGTGGTTGGAGGCCCGGTGCACTAAGCGCATGGTTGGTTGATAGGCCACGTCACGAGGGGACCGAGAGCACCATGGCATCGGCAAATTGGTTTCATAGTTGTTTGGGAAAAGTTTTTTTGATACATAGGTCACCGACTGGCGGTCGCGAAAATTCGACAGTGCTCTAATAGAGCTATCGCACGATTCCAGGAAGGATCTAGTTGACCAGCAATCAGCGAACTTCACCGAGAAGACGAAGCGCTCAGGTGGAGGCCGAATCCACACACAAACCCCAAGACTGTGGAAAACGTGTGCCAGACATCTAACTAATTAGTTATTGCACTGGAACCACTACCACGCAAATTACTTAAGTAAACAATGTGCTTATCGACCCATCAAAAAAGCCGAAATCATGCTCAAAAGATTGCACACCTAGTCAAAATAATAACAAGGCTCCTAATCCAGGACACTTAAGCAGCAAAACGGTTCTATGTTGGTCTAATGCTAAATAATTTCAATTTAGCTAATTTTTGGAAGAATAAAGAAGAAACTCTGCTAAAAAAGGACAGAAGTCCTTCAGAATGTTGTCAGCGGTTCATATTCTAATCTTTTACAAAAAATCTCCTTTCAAGGTCAGAACGTAAGATGAAAACAAATAA